GGTTCAGGAGGCTTCATAATATGAGATGGTTTACTTCGATATGAACATCCACCACTTTGGCACGCTCAAAATCTGCTATACCATGGTTGACTTCCATATTTTGTAAAGACAAAACATTGAAAAATTCTCTTAAATTCAACAGCCGATGAAATAATTTTTTTCGATTTTCGAAGAAAATGAGAAAGACGACCACTCTTGGTAAGAGCAATCGTCTTCGACAAAATTTCTGATGAAGTTTCTCCATCGAGTGAAAGGTAACATTGTTCTGCGCTAAGTATTCTCAGATTACACCGTGTCTACACGTCCTCCATAAAGTTTTATTATTTGGCGAAAACAGTAAGCCAAGGAGTTAAGGGTTAGGCTTCTGATTGCTACTTTTTTACTATGAGAACCATTTAATTACATCTGTTTCTATGAAGGGAACCAATACGGAGAACGTTTCTTGACGAAATCCTCTTCCCCCAGCGTTTGCCCGCGCCGTGGCAGGGCCCGCTAATTTCCCACGCTTAGTGTTTTTGCTCAATTACGGGGAGAGTTTGGAAATTTTGCAGAACCTCGGGAAGCACTGGGAGCATTTGAAGTGCGTGCGTATTCCTCTTCATTAAAAGAAGCCAACCGCATCACAAAAACTCCGAAACATTGATTCCATCTGGCCAAAAGTTTTGGTTTTCATGGTGGTAACGTTGAAATAATGAAGTTTCAATTTTTACCAATTTATTTAGAATGATTGAATTACTCTTAAAAACTAAACGATTGGGATATTAATAATCCTGTCATTTGATAGAAGCTGGGGAAGAAATACGTGTAAATTCGGAAAATGTATGGCATATTCGATGCCGGACGTGACACACACATAAGTACGTCGGAAATTGAATTCTTCGAATTCTTGAAATTCATTAATCACAATAAATGAAACTATTTCAAGCTTTTCGGAAGTGCCTGAAGCGTTAGCCTCAAATTCATAAAAGTTATAAGCTTTTTGAGCAAATAGAAATCTTAGGCGATTGGCGAAAGCAGTTTTCACTGCACTACGATCGAAAATATGTACAATAGTTATTAGGAGCCGTACTATCCGTCCCCTAAGGAGACTTATGTATTTCACCAATCTATATCAAAAAGGGAATACCAAATTATTCGAGCGATTGAAGATTAACTCATTGACGACCATGCAGTCCACATATGGACTGCAGTTGTATTTTTTGTTTTATTCATCTTAATTTCCATGTAATTTCAATTATTCTCCTCAAAACATTACATCAGGCCTAAATGAAACTGCATACATCGTGATCCTAGAAAATCTTCTTATTTTGCAATAGTAAAGATGTTTTTTTTTTCGAAGGATTACATTACCTTGGTGAATTTTTCATTCGTTGAACAACTTCAAAAATGAGATATTTTAAAAAGACGGTCTTCATTGGCATTTTCAAATGCAAAGCCCGTAAAAAATCTCTGAAACGTTTCTGACAATGATTAACTCATTGGCGACGGTGCCTTTTACATTGTCCTTACATTAACTTTTAATTTCTCTTATAACTGTAGTCGGAAGTGAATAATTCCTGGACCACAGCTCCTCAAGATTCGCTAGAAGGCTGTGAGCACAGCTGATACTTGAAAACATGACAAAATTATAAGAACACTTGATAAATAACATAAATACTACAGGAGCACGATATGGTGTGGCCCGCCAGCGGACCACGTGGTCGTCAATGGGTTAAAGAATATGATGAATCAAAAGAAGGAATACGGTAGAGGAACAGCAAAAGATATAAGCCCCAAAGGAAAACTACTCGAAATATGTTGCGCATCAAACTTTTATTCAGACTAGTTAGCATTCTGATTGATGGTAAGAAGCCATCTAAAAATGAACACGACTATCTAATGCCTTGAACTGATGATAATAGGATGATGGCCTTGAACTGATGATAATAGGATGATGCTTGGTGCTACCACTTCAAAGGAGATATCCTCAGAGGTGCATCGCACCTCAAAATTCTTTTAGAAGAGCAGATATTTCGAATGAATATCACTGTATATTCAGGAATAGTCGTAGGTCATAGGAAAGTATTATAAACAAAAATAATCGAAGCAAAGATTATTGATTATTAAAGGGTCGGCTGAGCCTGCGGGGAAGGGTTCCAAGTGAGGTAACCTGCTCATGACTGAATGGGGAGTATGGTCAACATGTCCTTAGGTTTACCACAAAAAGATCGATAATCCACATCAAAATGGAGTACCACCTCCAACCGCAGCAGTAACTCATAAAAACTACTCGGTATAGTGAAGAGACGAGAAATAGGACGGACGTCGAAAGGGAAAACAACCTTGCTCTACGGGAGCAACAACGGCAACTGCTGTTGTTATGTTCATCCCATTGGAAGGAATGAAGGTGAGACACATTCCGTGATCGCATGTCAGATAACTCCATAACGGCCAGTCATAAAATAAGGGATATTTCTTGGAAACTTAGGGACACCGCAGCAGAAGCCTCAAGAAGTTCTTCGCATGCATATGACTCCCTTACAAACAAAGAGATATAGCCAGTGAACTGAGGTATGGGGGAGAAGGCAAAGAGGATTACGTCAGCAAAGAACGGAGCTTGGAAGAAGACTGGGAAAGGGCAGCACCAACGCCTACTGGATTAGGGCAAAGCAGAGGACCTTCGGCGGAAAATGAAAAACCCGCTTCCGCCCACACCGAACAGCTGATTGGGAGGGCCCAGGCTACGGTGGTTAATTTCATCTCACCAGACATCGTCTAGTCATCCACGTGACCGGATAAGCATTCAATTGAATTCATTGGAAATCCAGTAAGTGACTATGAAAACACTCTCGAAATTGACGGATAGACGATGTCAGTGTGCCAATCGAACAACCAAGGTCATTACTTCACTACGACTTGTACGCAACAGCCATATGGAAAATCTAACATCAACTTTGTTCACAAGCAATGATTGCTGTTGTCGATGAAGAGGCAAATCAAATCGCGTTTGCCAAAAAGTGCACTAAAGCCTGGGCTCACCAAGGAAATGGGATTCCCAGTACTACCGTCTCGGTCCAAGTTCCGTTTATTTGTTAGGCCTTCGAGCTGGGTTTAAATTGGAGAGCGCATCCAGTATGTCGTCAAACTATCGTACAAAGTTCTGTTCTACTCTGGAAGCCTAAATTGGCCCGGACAGGATTTCAACAAGTCGCCAGCTGAGTACTAGCGAAGCCTCTTGCCATTACCGCACCTTCACCTTTCGCTCAAATTAGCTTTCAACAGGGCCAACCGTCTATCGTTCCACCATAAGACTCGGTAGTAGCAGCCAATGAGACTTAGCAAAAAACTGTATGTGAGCCCATTGCATTTACGCTACCAAGCCAACGACGAATGAATATCGACATAAAGAAGATTTTTTGGGCAAACCACCAAATCATCTATACTTTATCGATTGTAACAAGGATACGGTAAGTGGACGTCGGTGAATGGTCCAGAACAGAGCCAAGACGGGGTAAGTTTCAAAATTTAGCAAGAAGAAAGGTCATACAAGTTAGATTCAATTAATTTTTTAAGTGACAAACAAAAAACTCCGCCCAAAATTGTATCACAGCAAGCATCAAAGTTTCGCTGTTCGCCCAGTCAGAGTCGAGAAAATAATATACGATAAGAACAGGTTCATCACGTGCAACAGCAATGTTCGAAAACAGTGAGGAAGTAAACGGGCATGGCTTGGCTCCGCCTCTCCTCGGGGGAAAACTCTTTTGGGATTTACGTCATCACGTGAAAAGTATATGATATAACCATCACAAGTCATTCCAGTGAGAGGGATCTTGGAGGGCGTTACTATCGTCCAAGCCAGATGTGATCGCAAAGATGGAACCAGCACAAAGCACTGGAGAATTGAAGCGTTGAGAATCCTTCAATATCGCTCCCATACAAATAACAGCAACCAAAGAAAAATTCGTACAAAAGCTCAGAATTGCTGGATGGGAAAAATCGTGGTGAAATATGAATTTGGCCAGAAGAATGACAGAGTTGAAGAAGGCGACCATCATGACTGACAAGGATATCATCGTCGCAATTGTAGAAGGATTATGGGTGGACCCATAACAACGCCTCTTTGGTTTTTAGCAAAACTTCTGAGCGAAATGGAATCGATTTCCGAGTAGCGGGACGTAGGTAACAGTCACCTAGCAAGGAAAGTAACACCACAAAATGAGTCTCTAGTGGCTAGTACAGCTACCTCAAAATCAACGGAGTTCAGGTCCAAATTCGTAATTGAACACCTCGCTCAGTCCATTTAACCCTTAGCCGTCCAAATGCATGTCAAAAAAACCGGTGAGGCAAAGTTCAATGTTTTGAATCTATCCATTGATAGTTTACCATATTGCAGCGGCATGATTTCTCACAAAGACCCTTGTAACCCTTCAAAAGGGAACTCATTTTCAAACATGACAAAAAAATTAGGTATCTAAGGAGAACAAAATGAATATGGGTTTTCGGAAATTTTACAGAGAAGTATTCAATGGAATAGCCAAAAAAGGTTGTTGGTTGAGTATTAGGGTAAAGTACGCAAACAACGCCTACGAAAATCCAGTTATTCGCATCCCAAAAATCAGAATACGAACATTACGAAAGCCAACTCGGAAAAACCAGTCCTCACTTAATCACCTCTTCGAAGATCGACGAAGAAATCAAAGGATACGACAGAAATGTTTTTGTTTACGAGCTGTTCCACGTGCCTACTTGTTTAATTTACTTCTATTAATAGAGCTTTTAAGAAAACTACAACCAAAGGTACACACCTATAGTGTGTGGTATTGAAGAATAAGCAACTACGATCACTAACTAGTCATTTTGCAAATGCAAAACCATGCCATCATTTCAATAACTGCTAAAATTTGCACTCTTTTTGATGAAAACATAGCAGTTCGAGGCTGAATAGGTTTTTTCGACGTAACTTTCGCATTCTGATTGCATGCGCAGAAACATGACTCAAAAAGTCAAAAGAAAAAGTGATGTCATTCGTTGAAAAAGAACACAACATAAGAGCACTGTTTCAGTGACTCGAACGCTAATATCAGAACCAACCATGAACTGCAGGGGAAGGCTAGAATAGACTTAAAAGGGTTTTTTTCCAGTTCAAAGTTGGTGGTAATGCAAGGGACCGGTATAATAACAAACCAGAAGCTACAAATGAACAAAAGACAACCTGAAAAAAAAACAACCACCATACCTTCGAAACTTTTGGAAGCGCTTGATCCATAGGACGATTGCCGCTTGTTCCCTGCAGCAGGTGTGCTATGGCCCTGCAGATAATCGCCATGAGCAGAGGGAGAATGCGGAAAAATAACCAGAACTCCTGAGTGGCGCCTATAAAAGAACAGAAATAGATATAGGTTATATTGAAATTGCTCAAATTAGTCCAAAGAATAGTAACAAAGGAGGTGACATAGAAAATGTGAAATGAAAAAAAAACTCACTTATTTGTTCCGTTGAAATTCAGGCCACAAGTTTGCGCGGCATCCGACATTGTTCGTCTACGAGTTCGCGAGCCACATGCTTCTGGTGGCTGTGAGCCTGCTGAATCACTTGGTGGTGGTGGTGGTGAGCAAACAGGTGGAAAACCGAGATCTGGAAAGCTTCGGAGCCTTATAAAATGTCGTTTGAAGGCTATTCCTAACACAACATTTCCAAAATTCTTTTTTTTTTCTTCATAATTTTGAAGTCTCTCTAAGACAAAGCAAATCTTTGCGGTTTAAAACTGTGACTATTCGTTTTGCGCCCCCGCTGGTGTCCTTAATGAGGGAAGCAGTTTCTACTCCGACTATTAACTTAATATTCTAGGGAATTTTCTCAGGGAAACTTAATTTTCTCAGGAACTGGTATACCAATTAATGAAAGAAAGTAAAAATCAAAACTCAGTACAAGAGACTTGTTTTAAAGCACAAGTGATTCCGTCAAGAGTTAGAGCACAAATGATCTACGGTTTTCGACTAGTAGACCAACACTGCAAGTATTTTTCCTATGTCTAACTATTCTGCCCCGACTGAAGTAACCTCTGAACCCTGAAAAAAGGGAAAATAAAAGTTGATAACTAGGAGTGATAAACGTCGGTATTCGGATAGGCATACTCATTTTTCCCAACCCGTCTTTGAAAAGGTTTGCCACACAAAATGGTAGAGGGACATGGCGGTTCCTTCCTTATACTTGCTTCTCAAGGTTAATTATTAGGTAAACTATTTGTTATTTACTCTATGTTCAAGAGCCACCGACTCAGCGTGAGAATTACTGTAAAGAAAAAGCAAAGACAATGAGCAACGCGAGTAAAGCCAAGCTGTTATAACGGCTTCCCTCACTTTGTCCTACTCCCTCACTTTTCTGTAGCGTAGAAGTTTAACTGAACAAACCCCGATTCCGCGGCCTAACCCATGACCCCAAACCAAACCCCGTGTCTTCATCATTTACTTGTTATAATGCAACAGTCAAAAACCAAAACAAAAATCGGCGTAAGACGTTAGACGTACCGCTATCGAGGTTTTCATGGCCATGCGATGGAACATTCAATGAACGTAGCCTTGTTCTCCTTCTCAAGCCATCGATAAACCGTGAATGAGGAGATGGTGTTGTTGGAGGTTGCGATGAAGGCGGTGTTACGCGTGATGCCGGCTGTTCACACGCAGTTGAATTTCCCGTAGCTTGAAAAAAAAGATACAGTAAAAACTCACGCGTTCAGAAGTAAACGTGCGATTTTAAGGGAACAAAAACAGATGAAGAGCAATTTCAAAAAAAAAGATCAATCAAATGACGCCGCCACTTCCACAGTCAATCGATCGCTATTGATCGACCACGGACGAAGCGTGACGTGGCAACTAGCGCGCGCTAACGCTAGCGCAAACTATGAATCCCGCCTCTGAAGCTTTCGTTATAGCCTCTTCGAAGGATACCTTTAAACGCTTTGGTAATACTCTTCCTGGGCAACTTTACTGAGGTTCGAAAAGTATATTGTAGAGCAAATGTAATCGAATGAAATTAAATTAATAGATTTCACAGATCACTCATGCAGAGGCCTTTTTGTGAGTGAATTCAAATTCAGTGGCTAAAGGACTTGCGAGAACTGATTACGACTTGTCAAAAGAAAGGAACATAGCAATCACCCTCATAACTAGTAAGTAAGTACAACAATCCAAAAGTTCGAATCAAAACAGAAAAAAAANAAAAAAAACTCACCCTGAGCATATGCACACGGAGCTGTTCGACCTGATTCCAAGTCCGCAGCTCGATCATAGATATTGATCGGAAGAGGCACGGACGTTTGCCTCATTGATGTCATTGTCCGCCAACTATAAAAAGGACTTTTGGAAACGATAGGCTTGAAATGAACACCAGTAAAAACGCAAATTAAACGAAAATCTTTCAAAATGTATGGATTTCTGCTTTTGAGGAAATGAGGAGACGTGAAAAGAGAAGAAAAGAACTTTTGGATAAGGATAAGCACAAAACAAAAAAGGCAACGAAAAAAGCAATAAGGAAAAACGTGCCTATCATCGTTGAAGGGTAGACACAACAATTATTCAAATGGATGTTAATTATTCTGCTTATTGCCGAGAATGTTGAAGGATTGCCTCTGCTAGCTATGGCAATAACATCACTCATTGCAATATTAGGTTTCATGCTCTTTATATTGATAGTGAATAAATGAAGAGCAGCCAGATCAAAAAAGTAAGCAGTATAGTTAACATTTGCCATCAATAGTAGAGCATTAGTCATATCGTCTTTTACTGATGATGATCCTGTGATCCTATGTCGAGTAACGTCGAACGAAAACGGTTCAAAAAGTGAAAAGCCGACTAAATTCGATTGTTTATACGTCGGATAGCCAGACATATTGCTAAGGAATAGGGAAAAAACAGGAACTTCTCAATCGTCCAGAAATAAACATACAATGTGGCATTACAATAAGGAAGACCTGGATCTACTGGTAGGACTACAAGTTCGAAGCCGAATAGGAAGAAAAACAAATAAACGTTTCTCCAAGTCTAAATCTCCCGAACCTCTACTGAACGGAGGGAACATTGGCACGACCCTCACAAGTACAATTGGCGAAAAACTGGGAGCTAGTAGTGAAGAAACAAATTTAAGCTTCATTAGAAATAACTTTCAACGGCAACTGTTCACCCTAGCGTAATTGGGTAAAAGAGGTTGTTAAATAACGTTACTGCGTTCAATTGAGCGTTTATTCAATTGACATTTACATTTTAATTGTAATGCCAAAATATTGACTGCCTACTTTTAGAACTGGTAATTGAAAAGCGAATGTAGCATTAATTTTGTTGGTAATTGAAATTTCAAATAAATCAGAGGTCAAAGATTAACGGGATCATAACTGCTACAGTAAGGCGTGACTCACTTGCAACGTAACCAATGTGTGTTTTCTGCTAAACCGGTAAATAAAACACAACAAACAACAAAGTTAGACTTTGGGTGAAAGATAAAAAGCCTACCATCAATCACGTACGGGCAGAGTAAAACCACTTTAGGCCATTTATAATGCCGGACTACAGAGTGCAAAGCAATAAATCTAAGAAATACTCGCCGTCGCCGGCGGTGGGTCCCAACATCTCCGCTTTTTCTTAGATATTCACTACACGGCTAGCACTGATTTTATGCCATCTCACTGGTAAGAAGAGAACCAAAAAAGGGAAAAATGAAAAAGGAAATGAAAGGGAAAGTACTAATAGAGGACATTTCGCGATATTGTATTGAATTATCGAAAACGGGCTGATTGCCACGATGTAAAAACGTGCAGAACGGAACAAAAGCTATCGTAGAGAATCAAAGATCCCAACACAGCCGGTAAATAAAGTGTTGAAAAAGAGAAATAAGTAATACGCAGTCAGAACTGAAAGGGTCATCCACATGTCATATAAGATGAGGGGAAATCCTCAAGAAACTGAGTATATGTATATCGAATTGTATTAGGTTGGCAAATAAGTCCTGCGACATAATGGAGACCTTTTTTAAGTCACTTCTAAATTTTTTCATAGCAATCAATTTTCGAGGAAATTTTTGCCGAAGAAGTCAACAACCTTCTTTTATCCTTTGAGTCAATCACTGATGCCATCTCTTCAGGAATGAGGGAGCTGTGACTCGGAGAAGTAATTGACTGCCGTTTTTGGATCACATTAAGTTACGAATTTCTTTTCCACAACGGAAGCACATTGTTGTTAAAAGGGGGAACACTCTGCGAGCACG